TTGAAACTGGACCCCTTCTTTACACCTTACACAAAAATTAACTCAAGGTGGATTAAAGACTTAAATGTAAAACTCAAAACTATAAAAATCCTGGAAGAAAATCTAGGCAATACCATTCAGGACATAGGCACTGGCAAAGATTTTATGATGAAATTGCCAAAAGCAACTGCCAAAAAAGCAAAAATTAACAAATGGGATCTCATTAAACAAAAGAGCTTCTGCACAGCAAGAGAAGCTATCACCAGAGTGGACAGACATCCTACAGAATGGGAGAGAAAATTTTCAATATACCTTTCTACATACCCATCTGACAAAGATCTAATATTCAGAATCTACAAATAACTTAGTCAAATTTACATGAGAAAAAAACAACTTTATCGTTTTTTAGAGTGGACAAAGGACATGAACAGACACTTCTCAAAAGAGGACATACATGCAGCCAACAAACATATTTTTAAAAGCTGAACATCACTGATAGAGAAATGCAAATCAAAATCACAATGAGATACCATCTCATGCCAGTCAGAATGGCAATTATTAAAAAGTCAAGAAACAACAGATGCTGCCAAAGTTGCAGAGAAATAGAAATGCTTTTACACTGTTGGTAGAAATGTAAATTGGCTCAACCATTGTGGAAGACAGTGTGGCAATTCCTCAAAGATTTAGAGCCAGAAATACCATTTGACCTAGCAATCCCATTACAGGGTATATACCCAAAGGAATAGAAGTCATTCTATTATAAAGACAGATGCATGTGTATGTTAATTGCAGCACTATTCACAATAGCAAAGCCATGGAATCAACCTAAATGCCCATCAATGATGGACAGGAATAATAAAATATGGTACATCTACACCTTGGAATATTATGGAGCCATAAAAAGGAATGAGATCAAGTCGTTTGCAAGAATATGGATGAAGCTGGAAGCCATTTTCCTCAGCAAACTAACACAGGAACAGAAAACCATACACCACATGTTCTCATGTACACTTGAGAGCTGAGCAATGAGAACACAAGGACACAGGGAGAGGAACAACACACACTGGGGCCTGTTGTGGGAGGGTGGTGCAAACCACCATGGCACATGTTTACCTATGTAACAAACCTGCACATCCTGCATGTGTACCCTAAACTTAAAATGAAATAAAATTAAAAGACAAGGTTAAAGCATTATTTAAAATTAAATTAAAAGACAAGGTTAAACCATATTAAAGAACAATAATTAGATAAAAGAAGGCTTTGGTTTACAAAATGCTGAAATAATACTTTTAATTTTAAATCCTTTAATACTGCTCCCTTCCAGAGGTGCAGCTTTCTTCCTTCTCTTGAGCATGGCTCGGACTTAACGATGCACTTCTGATATGGCCTTGCTCTGTGTTCCCACTTGAATCTCATCTTGAATTTTCATGTGAATTGTAATCCTCCCATATTGAGGGAGGTACCACATGGGAGGTGATTGGATCATGGGGACGGTACCCACATGCTGTTCTTTTTTTTTTTTTTTTTTTTTTTTAAGATGGAGTCTTGCTCTGACACTTATCTGGAGTGTGATGGCACAATCTCGGCTCACTGCAACCTCTGCCTCCTGGGTTCAAGCGATTCTTCTGTCTCAGCCTCCTGAGTACCTGGGATTACAGGAGTGTGGCATCACTCCTGGCTAATCTTTGTATTTTTAGTAGAGACGGAGTTTCACCATGTTTGGTCAGGCTGGTCTCGAACTCCTGGCCTCATGATCTGCCCACCTCGGCCTCCCAAAGTGCTGGGATTATAGGCATGAGCCACCACACACAGCCCCCCATGCTGTTCTAATGACAGTGAGTGAATTCTCATGAGATTTGATGGTTTTATAAGGGCTTCCCCCTTCACTCTGCATTTCCCTCTCCTACCACCATATGAAGTATTTGCTTCCACTTCTGCCATGATTGTAAGTTTCCTGGGGCAGACTTCTCAGCCATGCAGAACTGTAAGTCAATTAAAACTCTTTCCTTTATAAATAACCCAGTCTCAGGTATTTCTTTATAGCACTGTGAGAACCAGCTAATACAACTTCTAACAGATACAGTAATGATGACATGACAGTTCGTGACTCTGGATGTAGAACATAAAACTCACTGCGGCTTCCACTTTCTCTCTCTGTCTCTGGGATCATGAGTTCTGGGGGAAGCCAGCTGCTGTGCTATAATCTGCCCTGCAGGAAGGTCCATGTGGCTATGAACTGAGGACTTCTGAGACCAGACAACAAGAAACTAGGCCTTTTCCAACAGCCATGTGACTGAGCCATGTTTCATGTGAATCCTCAGCCCCAGTGAAACACTCAGATGATGGAGCCCTGGCTGACAACTGGACTACAACCTTGTGAGAGGAACTCAGCCAGAAGCACTCAGGGAAACCTCTCCTAGATTCCTGACCATTGGAAACTGTGTGAGATGATGAATATTTGTTGTTTTGAGCTGCTAAGTTTTACATAATTCATTATGCAATAGTAAATAACGAATTTTCACAAGAAAGTATGTATTATTACACATTAATTTGCATTTGCTCTAAATTTATCATCATTATTATTTTTGAGACGGGGTCACGCTCTCTGTCACCCAGGCTGGAGTGCAGTGGCATGATCACCATGCACTGCAGTGTCGACCTCCTGGGCTCAAGGGATCCTGTGACCTCAGCCTCCTGAGTATCTGGGACTACAGGCACGAACCACCATGCCTGGCTAATTTTCTAATTTTTTTTTTGTAGAGATGGGGGTTTGACCATGTCTCCCAAGCTGATCTTGAACTTCTGGAATCAACAAATCTGCCTTCCTCTGCCTTCCACAGTACTAATATTGCAGGCGTGAGCCACCACACCAGGCCTAACTTAACTATAAGATATTAAACATGAAACTTAGTTGTAAAAGGTAAGGAGAATTTCCATGGCTGAAGAGGATGTATTTTATTACCGTTCACAATTTTCACTTTACTTGAACTTCAATTTCCTACTGTGTCTCAATTAAACATAAAAGGAAGATCCAACCCTTGCTAGGCTGATTCTATGATGGCCCCAACAACCACCTCCTGGTCATGCACCTTCCCCCAGTTATTCACCCAACTCTAATGTAGGTGCTGCTGTGAAGGGATTCCGCAGATATAGTTAAGGGCGTCAATTAGTCCACTGTACGCTGGGTTTATTCTGAGTGGACTGTCCTAATCAGGTGAACCTGGGAAAGGACTAGGTCCTTCCTGAGCATAGAGATTCACAGTGTGAGTGGGATTCAGCATGAGGGGTTTCCTCCACTGTGGGCTTTGAAAATGAAGGAGCTGTGTAGGCAAGAATGCTGGTGGACACCAGGAATTGAACACTTCCCTTCATGTTCTCTACCTTGACAGCCAGCAAGGAACAGGGACCTCAGTCTTACAACTGCCAGAAACTGCATTCTGCCACCTCTGTATAAGCCTGAAGAAGGATTCAAAATGAAAACACAGCTTTGGGAAGTCCAGAACAGATTCCATCCATATCTTGCCCAGACTTCTGACTAAGGAACTATAAACTGCTCAATGGGTGCTGTTTGGCCTGGAATGGTAGTGCACACCTGTAATCCTAACATTTGAGGAGCTGACACAGGGGGATCACTTGGAGCCAGGAGTTTGAGACCAGCCAGGATAATGTAGTGAGACACTTGTCTCTACATTTTTTTTTTTTAATTAGCTGGATGTGGTGGCACTCGCCTGCTCTCCTAGCTGCTCTGAAGACTGAGGCTGTAGGGTCCCTTGAGCCCAGGTGTTTGGGACTGCAGTGACCGATGATCATGTGTCTGCGCTTCACCCTGGATGACAGAGGTATAACTCTGTCTCTAAAAATAAATAAATCAACAATAAATGGGCATTGTTTAAGGCAAATATTTGCGAAAATTTGTTACCCAGTCTTATAAAATTCATTAACAGGCTCAACAGACTCATGGAATAAATTGATGAATTGATATGCACACTAGTTACATAAAATAAAATGTCTTAACTTTGTCAGTGTTTTACATTTTGTAATTTTCTGTGGTCCATTTTAATACACTCATGTTTCAATCACTCAGTCAACAAAAATTAATTTAGTGCCTACACAGAACCAGGTATGCCCTCATATATTCATGTGCCTGACATTCTAGAAGCTTCACAAAATTGAGGTGTTTATGTGGAGAAATGACAAACTCTGATTCACAGTAGCAGGATCACTATGGAGAGAAGTCATCATAGTAGGTAATGGGACAGTGCTAGAGCCACTATTCGGGAGTGACAGGGTGGTGTGGAATAAAGGGAGAGGAAGGCCTGAGGGATGAGAGGGATGGAGGGAAGGGCTGGAGAAGCAGGAGGTGAGGAGAAGTAGCAGAGGGAAAGAATTTGAAGGCAGCAGAATTCTCAGGTTTAAACACATTGTTTTATAGACTTTTAACACATCCATCTACAGAGCCTAGCAGGGTGTTCTTTGCAGTTGGGCTTTAATACCTTATGTAGGTCTACCTAAAAACTAATTGTTTCTTATGTTAATCAGGTTTAAAAAATACTAAGTGTTCCTATAAAATAAACACACCACTTAGATGTGGACACTTCCTAAAAACAGGCAGTGCATGAGCACTGGTGAGGGGCATTGTGATTGCACTGAACACTTGCGACTGTGAGGTGAATGAAGTCTGTACTGGCTCCTGGTTGCAACAGTGTGCTACTATGTCCTGGACTCACACAGAAGCTCAGGTCTATGGAGTAAAGGTAAATTTAAAATACAACAAGCGGGAGTCACAGATACATTGTCTGGGAAGGTGAAACAGGAGCTTTGTGAGTCCTGTTGTAATGCTTTTAGACACATTTATATATGAAGGGGCCAAAGTCACATTTTTTTTTACCAATTAGGTTCCTGATCATTCAGGAGTTATCAAGATTCTGCTGCCCACTGTAGTTAATAAACAAAAAGCAAACTGGTCTCTATGCTATCTCATGCTCTCAGGCAAAATTTTTCCATATTTGAACAACAACAACAACAAATCTTGTCTCTACACCTCCATTCCCAGGGCGAGTTCATTCTCTCGTAGCAAGCTTCCTCGGGTGAATTTTCTTCTAAAAGAGTCCAGGGGGACAGGTAAGGAGTGGGAGGCAGGGAGTCCAGTTCGGGGACGGGGATACCGGATGAAAAGTGAAGGGAGAGGGACGGGGCCCGTGCTGAGGGTTTCTCTCTGGTTTCTCAGCAGCTCCTGGGCCAAGACTCAGGGAGACATTGAGACAGAGCGCTTGGCACAGGACGAGCGGGGTCAGGGCGAAGTCCCAGGGCCCCAGGGGTGGCTCTGATGGTCTCAGACCCCGAAGGCGGTGTATGGATTGGGGAGGCGCAGCGTTGGGGACTCCTCATCTCCGCAGAGTTTCTCTTCCTCTCCCAACCTGTGTCGGGTCCTTCTTCCTGGATACTCACGACGGGGACCCAGTTCCTACTCCCATTGGGTGCCGGGTTTCTAGAGAAGCCAATCAGCGTTGCCGCGGTCCCGGTTCTAAGGTCCCCAGTCACCCACCCGGACTCAGATTCTCCCCAGACGCCGAGGATGGCGCTCATGGCGCCCCGAACCCTCCTCCTGCTGCTCTCCGGGGCCCTGGCCCTGACCGAGACCTGGGCAGGTGAGTGCGGGGTCGGGAGGGAAACTGCCTCTGCGGGGAGGAGCGAGGGGCCCGCCGGGCGGGGGGGTGGCGCAGGACCTGGGGAGCCGCGCCGGGAGGAGTGTCGGCGGGTCTCACCCCTCCTCGCCCCCAGGCTCCCACTCCATGAGGTATTTCAGCACCGCCGTGTCCCGGCCCGGCCGCGGGGAGCCCCGGTACATAGAAGTCGGCTACGTGGACGACACGCAGATCGTGCGGTTCGACAGCGACGCCGCGATTCCGAGGATGGAGCCGCGGGCGCCGTGGATGGAGCAGGAGGGGCCGGAGTATTGGGAGGAGCAGACACGGATCGCCAAGGCCAACGCACAGACTTCCCGAGTGAACCTGCGGATCGCGCTCGGCTACTACAACCAGAGCGAGGCTGGTGAGTGAACCCCGCCCGGGGCACAGGACACGACCCCTCCCCATTTCCCACCGACGGCCAGGGTCGTCTCGAGTCTCTGGGTCCAAGATCCACCCCGGGGCTGCGGGACCCGCCCAGCCCCTAGACCCGGAACAAACACAGCCGCCTTTACCCGGTTTCATTTTCAGTTTAGGCCAAAATCCCCGCGGGTTGGGCGGGGGCGGGGCTCGCTGGGCGGAGCTGACGCAGGGGCGGGGCCAGGGTCTCACACCTTCCAGAGGATGTATGGCTGCGACCTGGGGCCGGACGGGCGCCTCCTCCGCGGGTATCACCAGCACGCCTACGACGGCAAGGACTACATCGCCCTGAACGAGGACATGCGCTCCTGGACCGCCGCGGACACGGCGGCTCAGATCACCCAGCGCAAGTGGGAGGCGGCCAATGTGGTGGAGCAAGAGAGAGCCTCCCTGGAGGGCGAGTGCCTGGAGTGGCTCCGCAGATACCTGGAGAACGGGAAGGAGACTCTGCAGGGCGCGGGTACCAGGGGCCAGGGGGAACCTCCCTGATCGCCTGTGGACCTCCCAGGCTGGCCTTGCAGAAGGAGGGGAGGAAAATGGGACGAACACTAGAATATCCCCGACCGCCCCGCCCCCGACCTGAGGGAGAGGAATCCTGGGTTTCCAGATCCTGTACAGAGAGTGACACTGAGGGCCTGCCCTGTTCTCTGATACAATTAAGGGTTGCAGTCTCTGAGGGAAAGGAGGGGAAGTCAATCACAGGAATACTGATCAGGGGTTCCCTGTGACTCCACAGCAGCGTTGGGCACCAGGATTTTTCTCTCCTGCCTTGTCCTCTGCCTCACATTCAATATGTGTGGGGGTCTGACTCCAGCTCCTCTGAGTCCCTTGGCCTCCACTCAGATCAGGGCCAGAAGTCCCAGTTCCCCCCCTTGAGACTAGAACTTTCCAAGGAAAAGGGTATTATCCCAGATGCCTGTGTCCAGGCTGGTGTCTGTGTTCTGTGCTCCCTTCCCTATCCCTGGTGTCCTGTCCATTCTCAGGATGGTCACATAGGAGCTGCTGGGGTGTCCCATGAGAGATGCTAAGTGCCTGAATTTTCTGACTCTTTCCTGCAGAGCACCCCAAGACACACGTGTCACATCACCCCATCTCTGACCATGAGGCCACCCTGAGGTGCTGGGCCCTGGGCTTCTACCCTGCGGAGATCACACTGACCTGGCAGCGGGATGGGGAGGACCAGACCCAGGACACAGAGCTGGTAGAGACCAGGCCCATGGGGGATGGAACCTTCCAGAAGTGGGCGGCTGTGGTGGTGCCTTCTGGAGAGGAGCAGAGATACACATGCTATGTGCACCACGAGGGGCTACCCAAGCCCCTCACCCTGAGATGGGGTAAGGAGGGGATGGGACGTCATACCTTTTGGGGAAAGCAGGAGCCCCTCTGCAGCACTTCAGCAGGGTCAGGTCTGGGACCTGGGGGTCAGGGCCCCTCACCTTCCCCTCCTTTTCCAGAGCCGCCTTCCCAGCGCACCATCTCCATCGTGGTTATCCTTGCTGTCCTTGGAGCTGTAGTCGTTGGAGCTGTGGTCACTGCTGTGATGTGGAGGAAGAAGAGCTCAGGTGAGGAAAGGGTTAGGAGTGGGGTCTGAGATTTCTTGTCCCACTGAGGGTTCCAAGCCCCAGGTAGAAGTGTGCCCTGCCTGGTTACTGGGAGGCATCATCCACACTCATGAGCCGACCCAGCCTGGGCCCTGTGTGCCAGCACTTACTCTTGTGTAAAGCACCTGTGACAATGAAGGACAGATGTATCACCTTGATGACTGTGGTGATGGGGACCTGATCCCAGCAGTCACAGGTCACAAGGGAAGGTCCCTGCTGAGGACAGTCCTTAGAAGGGCAGTTGGTCCAGGATCCACACCTGCTTTCCTTGTTTTTCCTGATCCTTCCCTGAGTCTGCAGTCACACATTTCTGGAAACTTCTCTGGGGTCCAAGACTAGGAGATCCTCTACGACCTCATGGCCGTGCCACCTTTCTGACCCCTCCTCACAGGACATTTTCTTCCCACAGATAAAAAAGGAGGAAGCTACTCTCAGGCTGCAAGTAAGTATGAAGGAGGCTGATCCCTGAGATCATTGGGATATTGTGGTCAGGAGCCCGTAGGGGAGCTCACCCAGCTAACAGCATTTCCTGTAGGCTCTGACCAGGTTCTGTTTTTGTTCTACCCCAGGCAGCGACAGTTCCCAGGGCTCTGATGTGTCTCTCATGGCTTGTGACGGTGAGATCCTGGTGGGGGTGGTGGGCTGATGTGTGTGGGTTGTTGTGGGGAACAGTGCGCACAGCTGTGTTATGAGGTTTCTTTGACTTGGATGTATTGAGCTGGTGATGGGTTGTTTAAAGTGTGACTGATATAAATTTGTTCATGAATTTTTTTTTTTATAGCATGAGACCGCAGCCTTGTGTGGGACTGAGAGGCAAGATTTATCCACACCTTCCGTTTGTGACTTCTAGAACCCTGACTTCTCTTACTGCAAAGGCATCTGAATGTGTCTGTGTCCCTATAGGCATAGTGTGAGGAGGTGGGGAGACCAGCCCAGCCCCGCGTCCACCATGACCCCTTCCGCACACTGACCTGCATTCCTTCCCCGATCACCTTTCCTGTTCAGAGACCTGGGGCTGGGATGTCTCCATTTGTATCTCAACTTCATGGTGCACTGAGCTGTAACTTCTTACTTTCCTACTAAAATTAGAATCTGAATATAATTTACTTCTTCAAATTATTTCTATGAGAGATTGATGGGTTAATTAAAAGAGAAGATTCCTGGCCGGGCGCGGTGGCTCACGCCTGTAATCCCAGTACTTTGGGAGGCCGAGGCGGGTGGATCACGAGGTCAAGAGATCGAGACCATCCTGGTCAACATGGTGAAACCCCGTCTCTACTAAAAATACAAAAAATCAGCTGGGCATGGTGGCGCGTGCCTGTAATCCCAGTTACTCAGGAGGCTGAGGCAGGAGAATTGCCTGAACCCAGGAGGCGGAGGTTGTGGTGAGCCGAGATCGGGCCATTGCACTCCAGCCTGGGTAACAAGAGTGAAACTCCGTCTCAAAAAAAAAAAAAAAAAAAAAATAGAGAAGATTCCTGAAATTCGAGAGACAAAATAAATGCAAGACCTGAGAACCTTCCACAGTCCACGTGTTTCTTGTGCTGATTTGTTGCAGGGGAGGAAGTAGATGGGGATGTGCCCAGTGGGTGCCCAGGCCACTGTGGGCTTTATGTGGTCACTGCTTGGTTTGTCATCTTTGCTGCTCCATTGTCCTTAGCCCTTCAGTAGACTCTTGCTTTTCCCACCCAAACCTGTGATCCCAGGGACTTGGATGTCACCTATGGTGGTCTCTACACATAAAAGTCCTTGTGGTATCAGGAGACACATTTTCAGTCCCCTGTCCCTCTTGCCCTCCTTCCAAATTCCCTTCCTGGACTGGATTTTCTATCTTTTCCCCAAACTTTTTTTTTTTTTTTTT